TACTACTACTACTCCTACGACTACTACTGCTACTACTACTACTACTACTCCTACGACTACGACTACTGTTTGTACTACCACTACTACTACTGTTACTACTACTACTACTACTACTACTACTACGACTACTACTACTACTACTACTACTACTACTACTGCTACTACTGCTACTACTACTGTTACTACTTCTACTACTACTACTACGACGACCATTACTACTCCCAGTCACTACTACTACCGTCACGTCTTTACTACGACTACATTACCACCACTACTAGTCCTACCTACTACTACTACTACTACTACCACCACTACTACTACTTCTACTTATACTTCTACTTCTACTACCACTACGACTACTACTACTACTACTACTACTACTACTACTACTACTACTAATACTACTACTACTACTACTACTACTACTACTACTACTACTACTACTACTACTACTACTACTACTACTACTACTACTACTACTACTACTACTACTACTACTACTACTACTACTACTACTACTACTACTACTACTACTACTACTACTACTACTACTACTACTACTACTACTACTACTACTACTACTACTACTACTACTACTACTCTTTCTGGCTTCTTCCCCATCCTCATCCAAGGCCGTCGGCGCGGCCCCGCGAGGTGTGCTTGTTCGCGAGGCTTAGAGGCTTCTGGACATGTGCAAGTGATTGGCTCCAGAGGGTTCAGTTGGGCCAACAGCGAGAGGGCGAGGGCGCAGCAGCTTTTGAGAGCAGGTCTCTTGAGTGAGGAGGTGGGTAGGAGAGTTTCTGGCCTGTCGGGAGATAGTCCTCCTAGCGTCCTCCACCCGTCTCTGCTCCCTCCGCCTCCTGGCCTCAGCGCGCCAGTTCCTCCTGGCGTCGAAGCCGTATCGACTTCCTTTCCCGCTCCTGTGCATGTCCCAGCTGCCCCAGAAGTTGGCCCAGCTATTCAGCTCCCCCTCTCGTCGGCGCAACCGTCAGGCCAGGAGTTCAGCACTTGAGCGTGGCACTTCCTAAGGCAGAGATTCGAAAGGTTAGCGCCTACGGTGGCAGCCGCAGGCTGCGCGCCGTCGGGTCCGCCATCGGGCCTGTCCTGACCACATGGGTCGCGGGGCCGCGTGGTGGCTACATCTTCCAGTCCGCCATCACGGCGAATCCAGACGCCTTCTTTTTGCATCATATTTGTATGTGGGCGAGGGTATGCATTGCTGTGCTAAGAGGAATGTCGCCCCAGGGACTTATCTCCCTCGTGTTCCTCCTCCTCCTCCTCCTCCTCCTCCTCCTCGCTCTCATCCTCCGTCTCCTCCTCCTCCTCGTCCTCCTCGTCGCCCTTCTCCCCCTCTGCGTCATCCACCTGCTCCTTCTCCTCCTCCTTCCCCCTCCCCCTCTCCTCCTTCTTCTCGTGCTGTTTTCTGCCCCCCTCGCCCCCAAGACCTCCCGACCCCGAAGCTGCAATTCCGAGAACCCGTCGCCCTCGTCCTCGTCTCTCTCTGTCTCTCTCTCGTTTTTGTGTTGTTCCTCTCTCTGTTTCTCTTTCTCTCTCCCTCTCTCTCTCTCTCTCTCTTTCTTTGTTCTGTATGTTTTTGTCGTTCCCGCCGTCGTCGTCGTCACGTCGTCGCCGGCTTGGCGGGACCAGAACGACATGAGGACATAAAGACCGGGGACGAAGACCGGCAGCAGGTCCTGCCGCGTTTGAACCGGACTCGCTGCCAGCGCCGCCGCCGACATTGTCCACTCGGACCTGGGGCGCGGTGTCCGAGCCCAGGCGCCAACGCTGCGCGCCCGAGGGGCCCGAAGGGCACCGGAGCTGCCGCTGCCAGCCGCGCCCGCCGAGGCCCTCCGCTGCGAGGCGCTCCGGGGGGGCCCACCGTGCCCGCGCCTCGCCCTCGGCGGAGAGAACGGCGGGCGCCAGGCGGCGGCGCGAGGCCGGGCAGCGGGACGCGGCGGCGGCGGCCCGCCGTCCTACGCTGGGTGCCCCTGGAAGCGCCGATGGTCGCACGTGACGCGTTCCTCAAGGGAGCCTGGCGCTCGAGGATGGGAGGAGCTGTGGCTTGATCCTCGGCGGAAGGGGCGGCGGAGGGTCGGCAGAAGCAGAGTGATGCCGCCTCCGCCGGCGGAAGGTGGCGGAAGCGAAGCACGCGCCCCCAGGAGATGAAGACATGTTTGGGCTCAGGGCTTTTCCAGGATCGGCCACACGCTCCTTAGGAGATCTTGCCGTGGCATCTTCGAGTTTGACTGCGTGCCCGTGAAGACGTGGCGCCCAGGCGGGAGGAAAGTCGGCGGGAGCGAGATCGAAGCGTCAGCGCGTCTTGGGCGCTCAAGGCTTCCGCTGTGCGGCCGTTTCGGGCCCAGGCCCGCGCCGGCGGCGCAGCGCTGCTCGCGGGCGGAGGAGGCTGCCCAGCGCGCGCGTCCGCGCGCGGTGTGCGTGGGCAGATGGCGCTGCGCAGCCCGCCGGGGTCTGCGCGCAGCTATGGTCAGGGGCCGCGGGCGCTGCGGCCCAGCCCGAGGAGCTTGCCACCGGCGTCTGGGCGCAGATCCAGGTCGACAAGGGGTAGCGGTCGGGTTCCTTTGGGTTCTCTGAGAGGCACCATCACGCTAAGCCCGTTCAGGCATATCCGAAACAGCCATGCCCAAAACGACGATGCTGAACTCGTTCGGCATGCCCAAACACATGGGTGGGTATACACAAAGCCAACGAACACTCCTGAAGCGCACCCAGCGATCGCACACGCCCGCCTTACGAAAGCAGGCCTAATCTGACCTCTCAGACTGTCAGAACAATCGAAGAGAACCAAAGGCAACGTCGGGGCGCTATGGGGGGACAGGCTTACGGGGAACCCTGAGATCCAGACTTTACGATTTTTGTCACACAGGGCGTCTTCGCCTGGTTTCAGGCCCATGAGCCTTCACACATCGATCCAGCTCGAGAGATGCCGCAGAAATATGTGGTCTAGTGTTGTGGTCATGATTCTTACGATGTTACCATTTTTCCGCAGCGTCGGATCTCAGGGAGCGCAACGGCCATTGATCGCCCATTCATCGCCGGTGGGTGTCCGCCATCAGGAGCCTATCGCCGAAATATCGATCGCCGATTCCAGGTCGATGTTTCCCCCCTGAGCAAGTCCCCGGTTTCGTTGCCCCTCAGAGGTCCAGAGATGCGGCATCCCAGGACCCGGGGCGGGACCGATCTTTGGCAGGCCAGACCTCGGGTTCGCGGCGAAAATGATCACGACGGGAGGCGCTTGCTCATGCATGCAGAGGCCCTCAGCTGGCCCTGGGACTGTCGAAACGACTCGCGAGATGAAAAACCGGTCCTGGGGAAACCATCCAGATCTCAAGGGTCCAGGTTGTCGAAGTGGGAGGAGGAGGAGGAGGAGGAGGAGAAGGAGGAGCGATTGCGGTCGGGCGTCTTTCTGTCGCGTGCCGCGACGCCGGGTCTGGCCCGCCACGGTTCGGCGCGACATGCCAGCGCATGGCTTCCCAATGCCCAAGCGTCAGTCCTTCGCCTGCTCATGGGGGTCAGGAGCGGTGAGCTCGGCTCTTTGGATGCGTTCCTTGTTCGGGGCCGCACGGGTCTCCCAACCGTCTGCGTTCCTTCTTGCTGTTCCTTCGAAATTCCTCTGTGAGTTCTTCGCCCCGGCCAGTCTTTGCAGAGTCTTTCAGGAGATCGTTGCTCCTTCGCCTGCCCTTGACGCCCAGATGTCTGATCTGACCCCCACTGGCAGGCGAGTGGCTCAGCATCCCGCACTCCTCCTGGCCTCGGCGCGGAGCGACACGCTGCTCGCCTGCATGGCGCAGCGTGTTCGCCTGGGGCCGCCGCCGCGACGCGCCGAGCCAGCGCTGCCGACCGCGGGCCGCGCCCCGACAGGACGGGGAGGCGGCAGGCTGCGGCAACTGCGGGCGGCCGGTGGAGGCGCACGCCAGGTTCTGTGCGGGCTGCGGCGCCCAGGCCGGCGGGCAGCAGGTGGGCGGCGCAGAGAGTCGGCCATGCGCAGAGGGCGTCAGCAGTAGGGGGGCGGCTTCTCTTGGAAGCACCCCTGCTTCTTGGAAGGCGCGAGCCACTTCTGTAGACGTGGGGCCGGTGCCTTCTAAGAAGCAACCTCCTTCTACGAAGCCTCCCCCCCTCCCCCTGCCCCCTTGTGCGTGCCGCCAGGAAAGGCGGGGCCGTCTTCACCGATCAAAAGCTTCGAGCCGGAGATCGGCATCAGAAGTGCAACATTGCTTTCTGCCGTCGGGTCTACGAACAATGCGTACAATGTCCGTCGACCTACACGTACTATCCATCTGTTGCCGTAGAGTCGAAAAAAAAACAACTCTGGGCTGAATCAATTCCGCAGTCGGCCTCCCACTCGAAAGACGGGGTCGTCTTCACCGATCGCAAGCTGCCCGCGCGAGACCGCGCGGAAGCACCCTCTCCTCCGCGCGCTGGGGCACGCCGGCGGCCCGCATGGGCCGCGGCTTGGGGTCGCGATAGCTTCCTGCGCAGGATGGCGAACGAGCAGCACGCACACATACCCACGAGGGGGGCCGAGGGGTGGGGTGGGGGGGGGGGGGCTGGCCACAGGTCCGGGCTTGGACCGTCGGACCTGGGGGGAGGCCCCCGCTCGGGCGGGGCCCCCGCTCGACGGCGCACACCCAGGAGCCCGTGAGCCCCTCCCCCGCGTGGGCACAGGGCACAGGCCTGCGTTGCTCGTCCGTCGTGCGCCCCGCGTTTTCCTCCCGCGTCGCGCCGAGGTGCAGCTGCAGTTCTGCACCTGCGGGCGGCTCCTCTCCGCCCACGAGCGCTTCTGCGCCACCTGCGGCCGCCCCGCGGCGGAGGAGGGCCACGCCCCGCCCTCCCGCCGCGCCTCCCGCAGCCCCTCCCCGCGCTCCGAGCTGGGGGCCTCGCCGCGGAGCTGGAGGGCGTCGCCGCGGGGCCTCAGCCGGGGGAGCAGACGGCGACGCGAGCATGAACTCTCGGAGGCCCGCGCCGCGTGCTCGGCGCGGCGCTGGAGCCCCCCTGGAGGCGCCTTCCCTGCGCCGCCCCTGGCGCGCTCCGCGCGCCAGGGAGGGGTGGGGCCGGCGCCGACCTCCGAATGCTTATGTTTAGGTCGCTGTTTCTTCCCCTATCAGCGCGTCCCCCCGGGCGCTGTCCCCGAGGACTGTGGCCAGCATACTTAGCCAGGTCAGCCCTCGCAGCCCGCGCATGGGCAGGCCCGGAGCAGGGCGGGTCGAGACAACTACAGCTCAGAGTCGGTCCGCGCGCGCCTCCCAGGGTCCAAGCGTACCAGTTCTCCGAGCTGCGCCCAGCCGTGGCGACGAGTGGGCCCCACGGAGGCCAACTACCGTTATCTCAACCCGCCCTCCTCTGACAGGCGCGGCCGCCCCGATTGGGTGCCGCCTCTGTCGGCGTACGGGGCGCGGTCCCCAAGGGCGGACACGCTCGGGAACGGCATCCCCGAGTACCAGCAGGAGGAAAGGCCTCACATGTGGCCCTCGGCCTGGCCGGGCACGCCGCCGATGATGATGATGCTCCAGCCTTCGCCTGGAAGGCCCCCAGATCTCCGACGATCTGTTTTGTCAAATCTGTGCATCTGTCCTCACTTTCGGCCTCTGGAGCTGTGTTATCGAGTCTCTTGGAGCCATCAGAAATTCATCCGGGGCGAAAAACTGGCCCCAGGAAAGGGGTCGGGACCTCTGGGGCCTCGCATTGGAAAAATCACACCAGCGGATGTCAAGGTCTGTCAGAAGCCACTACGCCGCCTCGTCGGCGGCGACTTCCGTGGATGACCTCCAGATCGTCCCGTACAGCGGCGAGGCTCCACGAGGGAAAAATAAGAGACATCAGCTGCCGGAGATCCGCGCGGATTTCGTCGACTTGCGCTGGAGTCCCCTGGCGTTGCTCCTAGCGCCGCCCCTCGCGCCCTCGGCGCGCCAGGGAGGGGGGGGGCCAGTGCAGATTCAAGAAATCCACGCGGACCTCCGACAGCTTTTGCTTCTGCTGTTTTTGTTTTTCCTCTACAGTCGCAGACCAGCGACGCCCCGTCCATCCCACCCACGCCGCAGGAGATCCGGGCTAAACGCAATAGTCAGTTCACCCCGAACGGCCCGGTGCTCACCCCGAACGGCCCGGTCGTGGGCATGGCGATGTTGGAGGACGACCCAGAGATGACCGGCCGCAACGATCTCGGACTCAGCCAGGTTCGGAGGGGCTCGACATAATTAAACACCACGTCGCTTGGTCGGCTAAGGAGCCAATGAACTCCGCGGAGGACTTTGGTGCACAGACGCTCAACCTTCCTACATGTTGGGCAGCAAGGGTGCGTACACACCGAGCTCCTTGGCCGACTAAGCGACGTGGTGTATACATCCAGCCCGTCTCACAGGTGACGAGCGGCGAGTACCCCTGGGGCCGCTTCGTCCGGGTGCCGATCGCGCTGGTCGTGCTCAATTTTCTCGCCGTGGCCATGCAGTTCACCGTTTACCTCACTGCGGTCGGCTGGGTCGAGTCGGAGCACGTGACCCGCCCCAACATTTTCGTCCGCGGGCGGGCTTTGGGAAACCGATAGGTACCGATACCACTACCTCCTGGACCTCTCCTGGGGTGCGTTATGACCAGAATTTTGAGGCGAATCCAGCCGTGGCGACGAGGGCGTCCCAAGAAGCTTGAAATAAAAAGGGGAAAACGAAGCAAGGGTAGCGGTATCGATACCTTTTCCTCCTCCGAGGCTTCCCAACATTCTCGCCCCCGGCTGGAGCGTCGCAATCTACGCCACGATCGGGGAGTTCCTGGACAGGCAGATGTCTTGCTTTGGGGGCGTCTGCAGCATGCTGCTGTTCACCGCGTGTTGCACCGCCATTGCGGCAGTGCCCTGGTACGATCTGGGGTTCGTGGTGCAAGTCATGGGAGGAGATCCAGGGCTCCCAAACTGTGGTCCGAGTAGATGGGGTCGGAGGATCGCGCCGCATCGACGATGCATCTCCGATACGGCTCAATGTGGAAACCTGTTTTCTCCGCGCAGACGTCGCTGATGTATCACTGGCGTCGCCGATGCATCACCGCTGCGCATCGGCGATGCTGCGCGATCCTCCGATACGATCTACTCAGACCCCATTTGGGAGGCCTCTAGGAGTGCTTCTGCACACAGTTATTCTCTGCGTATACGTCGGCGCCAGGAGGGGCACCAAGGGCAACGCGATGAAGGACTCGATGTATGGGATATCCTATCTGTTCGCGCTCTTCTCGATCGTCTGCGCGCTGTTCGTCTGGGGTCTCGCTATCTGCATATTCTGGCCGATGTTCGATGAGAAGGTTCAAGACTACAGCAACGACTTCGAGCAGCCGCCGAAGGGAGCGATCTCAACGGCGTCCGGCATTGCGTTATCTCTGGCCTGCAACATCGGAGAGAGCGGCGCGGTGGTCGCGTTGAAAAGGTTGGACAAATACTTCTACAAGCGGGTCCCAAACTCCCGGCCCATGGGATCGTGGGCCGTCATGTTCATCCACAACGTGTCCGAGTCTTTTCGGCTCGCGACACTGTGGTATGCGGCCATTATTTCCCCAGAGTCCAACACCTGGATCGTCGCGATCATCAGTTCGCTAGTTCTGAACACGGTGAGTCGCATGGGTTGGCAAAATTATATCGCATGGAGGTTGACATGCAAGAACACGTTCTGGATTCCGGGCTGTTGGACCTTCGTTCACAGGCAGGCGAAGTTCGCTTTCGGCTACTGCAGATTCGCAGCTCCTCTTTCTGTTTTTGGAGCGCGATACGCTCTGAGCTTCGTGAGCGAGTCGGAGTCTCTGTGCTGTGGCTCGGAGATAAAGCCGTACTTCAACGATACCGGGCTGTATGTAATGCTAGGCAGTCTCATCGCAGAGTTGGTGGAGGGCTCCATGGTGGTGTTCTGCGAGTGGTTACACTTGGATCCGAGCTGGTACACCGACAAGACTGTCAAGGCGTTCTCATGCAGGACAAACGACAAGGACCTGCACGACGCCGCAGCGGCAATGTGGTATTCGCCGAACTCCTACATCAAGCCTGTGCACAAGGTCCACAATCAGGAGAGGAACTTCAAATCCCGTTTCGTGCACTTGGGCATCACTAGCGCTGCGACCTTTTTGGTGTACTCGGGGCTCATCTGCCTGGTATCTCTGGACTTTCTTCTCGGCTTCTCTGGCGAGCACGTGGACGCAATCGGGAGCGGAACGGTCGACGACATGAAGCGGAACGGGGGCGTGCTGTGGCGCTTGCCTGGCGAATGACGCGCATCCGTGGCCAGAGGCATTCTAGCGTCGTGGAGGTGGCTGGAGGCATTCCCACGTCTAGAAGAAGCAGCCGGTGTCTTGCGGTTTTGTCAAATCGCCCCATAAAGATTTAAGTGAGTTCTGCTGTCCAATGTGACCGGGGACCCCAGTGTGCGCGACCGGAGGGAAGTTTGAAAAGTGCAGCCTTCTGCTTCGAAGTATCTTCTTCACAGGTCCTCTGCTATGCAGGGTCGCTGACCAAGTTGTCCCGTGCTTGCTATTCGACCGCTTTGCGCATTCCAGTGACCATCTTTGTCACTGTTGCCATCTGCCTATGTGCTCGTCTCGACATGGAACTTGTTGGGCGTTTCCCCAAACAGTCTTGTGGAGTTCGCGTGGGAAAGACGCACTCGCTTGGTAGATTGGGGGCAACACTCAAACGATCACTGCCTACCCAATTTTCGCCATCGAAGCCCGAAGGCACGAGAAGGCATTAATCATTATTGGGGGCCTGGGTATCGCAACGCAGGCAGGACGAAGGATGGAGAGCTACCCATGGGGCCAGGAAACGTGTAAGGGATGTGCCGAAATGGGGCACGGCCGCCAGCGCTACCGCGGGGGCTCTCGGTGGAGCTCCCTATTGGGTCACGAAGCGTGCGAGGGGTGTGCAGACTATGGGTCGGGAACGACATGCGGGCGCCACCACTGGGGCCTTCGGTGTAGCTTCCCATGGGGCCATGAAACGTGTGAGGCACGTCCCAGCGTGGCCGCCATGCCGGCGATGCTATTGGGGCCTTCGGTGGAGCTCCCTCGGGGGCCACGAAACGTGCGAGGGGTGTACAAAAAATGGGGCGGGGCCGCCACGCAGGCGCTGCCGCTGCGGCCCTCTGTGGAGCTTCATGCGGAGCCACGCGTGGGAGGGGCGCGCAAGATAGCCCAAGAGACCCTCAAGAGGGACCCACGACAGCGCTAGAGACCTCCAGCACGGCCCAAGAGGCCCAAGATGGTTCGAGACGGCCCAAAGACGGCCCAAGAAGGCCACAAGATAGCGTCCAAGAGGGCTCAGTGCGGCCCAAGAGGCCTCCAAGAGGTCCCTGAGGGCCCCAAGACGGCCCAGGTGGCTCCCAAGACGGCCGAAGAGGTTAGAATTCGGCCCAGGAGAGATCCAAAACAGTCCAAGAGGTACCAAGATTGCCCCAAAGGCTTCAAGAGGCCCCTATGACGGCTCGAGATGCCCCCAAGAAGGCCCCCAGGATGCCTCCAAGAGTCCCCGGAGTCCCCCCAGGTGAACCCCAAGACGGCCCAGTGACAGACGTAGTTTGACGCCGACTCAGGCTCCCAAGAATTGAAGGGGACTGGAAGGCCTTTTTTCACGCAAGCGAGCGGTGACGTAGAAACTCTTCAACACCAAGGCTCAGAAGAGCGAGCAGTGACGCGAAAATGGTCTTGGTGCCAACGCTCCCAAGAGCAAACGGCCACGCAGAAAGCTCTGAAGCCCAATTAGTTATGCCAAGAGCGAACGGTGACGCAAAAAAGCTCCTCATGCCAAGGCTCCCAAGAGTGAACGTTGACGTGAAGCGGTCGTATTGCGGCCAAAGCTTGTAATAACGAATGGTGACGTCAAGAATATTAACGAGAAGGCTCTCAAAAGCGAGCGGTGTCGTACAAATGTTGTACCACCTACGCAGGCTCCCAAGAGCTAACGGTGACGCGAGAAACTTCTGAAAGCCAAGGTTCCCAAGAGCGAACGGTGGCATGATGACTATAAGCTCTCAACGCCGAGGCTCCCAAGAGCGAACGGTGACGGAAGGTTGTTATCATCAAGGCTCCCATGAACGAGCGGTGACGTATAAAGTTCTTAACACCAAGGTTCCCAAGAGCAAAAAGTGTCGTGAACAAGTTCTTGATGCCGAGGCTCTGAGGAGCGGACGGTAACATGAACACATTTCAACACCAAGGCTCCCAAGAGCGTACGGTGACGTGAACATGCTCTTAACGCCACGGCACCCAGGAGCGAGCGGTGACGTAAACATCTCCTAACAGTAAGGCTCCCAAGAGCGAACGTTGAGGTAACAAAGCTTTTAACGCCAAGGCTCCCATGAGTGAACGCTGGCGAGCTCTCAAGACCAAGGCTTTCAAGAGCGAACGGTGATATGAAGCAGCTCTTAACGCCAAGGCACCCAAGATGGAACGGTGACGAACATTGCTATTCAAGCCAAGGCTCCATTTCATGAATCGTGCCATAACAAAAGCATTTAACGCCAAGGCTTCCAAGAGCGGGCAGTCTGTCGAGCCCTCTCGGGCAAGATCTTGGGAACGCTCTTCCCGTTTCCGTGACAATCCAGATCTAGCACGTTTAGTTCGCCCAGTTTCGATGTAATTAGGGGCAGGAAGCATGAATTACATACTTCACATTTTGCAGGCCATTGCAGCGGCTGCTGCTTGGCAGTCTCTGTGCCGCCACCCCGGGCTCTTTGGCCCGGGCCCTTGGCCTTGGCATCCCTCGGACGTGTGCATGTTTCTTTCGTCGAGGACCATCGAGGAGCATCCTTGATCATTTGGCGAAGAAACCACGCACGAAACCGAAAAAAACACCGGGAATGGACGTCCGAGCGATGGCAGGTGGCTCCCCGTGCAGCAAACCTAGTGCGGCGTGCGCTTCTGCTGGCCTTTTTTCGGCCAGCGCACTGCGCCTTTTAACGTCCACGTGGCGCCATCGGTGCCCGCTGTGTGCGTTCTCCAACCTTGCCATCGGCGTCCTCTGCCCGCGGACCTGTGTGCCTCGCCGCTCGGACAAGGCTTACTGCGCTGGTCCTTTCCTTCCTCCTCGCCATGGTCCTCCTCCTCATCATCTCCGGCTGGTGCTTCGCGTGGTGGAGTCAGTCCCCTGACTCTTGGGCGGGGAAACCAGCAGCGTTCATCGTCAGCGAAACTCGAGGTACCCCTGCCCAGAATAAAAGCCCAGGCCGAGGGTTGAGGTTTCTGGGCGTCCGCGGGCCCCCTTTGTGCGGACCGGGGGCCTCACTGGACTCACGGTGCGCGACCTCCTGCCTCCTCCTCCACGGCGGCATGGCGCAGGCAATGCCCCGGGGGGCCACCACTACGGGGGATCGCCAGCTCCGCCGGAGGGCCGAGGTTCGAGGATCAAGGGCCGAGGAGATGTTGGACGACGTGGGACGTTCTGGGCGGGGCCTTAGGCGGCTCCTGGAGGGCCGTCCTCCCTTGAGATACGGCGTCTCGAAAAAAATGAAGCATCCTGGAAAATTGCGACCGGAGCCATAGGCCCTAGACACCATCGTTCTGCGCAATCTGTCGAGCTGAATCGATCTGTGAGGGCCCCGTGGCCCGAAGCAGGACGAAAACGCCGGGCTCGAAAAAATTGAGTCGACAGGATCTCAGGGTCCTCGAGCACTCTGCGATCCGCTCAGAGTGGGCCTCCCGCGGCATTGCCTGGGTGATTACGAGGGGCCCCGAGGGCCCGGGGCCCAGAGATGCCGGGCTGTCGCCCAGCCTCGCCGAGCCCCCCGCAAGGCCGCACGGGCCTCGACGCCGGTGGATCGACAGAGGCCTCGACGCCGGCAAGGCCGCTAGCGGGCCTCGCCGAGAGGTCTCGATGGACGGCTTCGCCGCCGACGGGCCCAGGCCGAATGGCCGCACGGGCCTCGAGGAGGAGGAGGAGGAGGGGGAGGAGGAGGAGGAGGAGGAGGAGGAGGAGGGAGGAGGAGGAGGAGGAGGAGGCGGAGGAGGAGGAGGAGAGGAGGAGGAGGAGGAGTGGGAGTGGGAGGAGGAGGAGAGGAGGAGGAGGAGGAGGAGGAGGAGGAGGAGGAGGAGCCCCACGCAGGCGCTCCCCGCCTGCGCGTGGAGCGGTGCCGGCGCCCGCCCCGTCCCGCCCTGTCCGCCCCAAGCGGGGAGCGAGGAAGGGCAGAAGCAGGAAAAAGCTCTGAGCCCCGTCTGGGTTTCTCGCAGCGGCGCCGGAGCCTCCTGGCGGAGCCTCCAGCGCCGCCCTTGGCGCGCTGCGTGCGCCGAGGAGGGGGGCCCAGCGCCGATCCTAGAAGTCCGCGCGGACCTCCGAGTTTGGATGTGTCTGTCCTCGTTCCCCATGCCCAAGGCCGCGGGACCGTCAGAGAGTGGCGCCGGGTGCGAGGGCTCTTCCACGGGGGGGGGCCCTCGGGCCAGGACCCGCGGCCCTCAGTATACCCCCTCTCCTTGCCAGGCTGCTGCTCCTCCCTCCCTCCTCGCCGGGCGGGCGTAGCTGCCGGGGAGCGGCCGGCGCCCGTTGGCCGCCGGCCAGCATTGATCGTGGGGCCCTCCTCCACGATGACGCAATCTGAAGCTGTTTGCCAGCGTGGACCCCCAGCTGCGATTTCTTGCAATCTGGTTGGTGCAATCAACGTGGTGCAATCAATGTGGCAGTCTAGGTGGTGCGACCCATGTGGTGCAATGCTGCGCAGGCCTGCGGCGGCGCGACCGCCGCTCCCCCTCCGCGCAAGCGTCGGCGGTGGGCGCGGGCGGGGCGGAAGCGGCCGCGGTAGAGGACGATTTGGTGCCGACCGGCGGGAACAATGAGGTTCAGGCGTCCGTCTGGCACTACGGGTGCTGCCCGAGTGCCCCGGCGCTCATCGGGCAGGTCTCCCCTGGAGGGGGTTCTCGCCGACCAGACCACGGAGGCCGCAGCCAACGAGCAGGGTAAGCGGGGTGGTCTGGGGAATGCCGGCTTCGACGCAGTTTTCGAGGGAAAATAGACCTGCGCGGTCGGCACACGGGATCACAGCGAGATGGTGCGTGCCTGCGGGAGTGATGTTCCCCCGTTCGACGACGACGCAGCGACGCAGGGACGACGACCCCGAGACGCGCACTGGTGGAGAGGCGCATGATGCGCCCGTGCTGCATCTCCCGAGGTGGCGATACGCGAAGCCCCCCTCGGAGGGTCACAGGAGTAGCCAGCGCAGAGAGCTCGAGGGCGAGAAGGCCTAGATCCCTGCGAGGGATTACCCTGCCGGCGCGGGTGGAGAGCCTCG